TATATATAGTATATATATATATATATATATATATATATATATATATATATATATACATAAAGTTTCATGTAATTTAAAAAATATATTAATTAGATTTTTGTTTAAAATATTAACATTTGGTAACATATTAGTGATATAAACCATTTTTATTACTATAAAATTTATATTTCACTTTTGTTTTCAAAACTAAATAAAATAAAAGATTTGAAGAAGTGTAGATATATAATACAGTAGTATTTTTTAATATTATTATAATATAAACTATTTATACAATATATATTACAATTTTGTGCAATAAAAAGATTTTCACGCAAATTTAACACAGTTCTTCTAAAGAAAATATAAAATATATAGACTTATAAAAAGAAAATGTCTAGATTATTGCAAAAATATGAAAGAAATTGCAGTTAAAAAATCTGTATACATCACCATGAACATCAAGATGTTTTGTGATATTCATGATGATGTATGTAGATTTTTTAATTATTAATATCTTCATTTATTATGTTATTTTTGAGAATCTTGAAGATCTTGATCAGTTTGATTTTTTGATTTATTTCTGAAACAATCAATAAATTAAATGTTTAATATATAATATAGTTATTAGTATAATATAATTATATAGAAATATAATAAGCACAAATAAGATTTCTTAAAAAGAACTATTTAATTACAAGAAAAATCTTTCAATATTTGTTTGAATAAAAAACAAAATCATGAATGTTATTAAGAATTATTAGGAATAAATGATGTTAAAGAAGCATCTCAATTCAAATAACACAATTATAATAAATATTAACATTTTTAAACAAAAATAAGTATAATAAATTTTTACTCACGCAATTCTTTGAACACGAGCAGGAGCTTGAACGATCCAATTGATCATAATTTTATAATTATTTCCTCGGTTGAAGTTGCATCGTGTAATCGGACAACAGCTATGGATATGTATCAATTTATAATTAAATTTATAATTAATATACTATATTAATATAATATATTATCATCATAAACGGAAGTGATTTATGCTGTGTTCCAATTTAACTATTTTTTGCTGATTAAATTGGTATTAATCGATGCTTGTTTAACTTTAAATTGATCATTGTGCCGAGAGAGACAGAAGGAATCAGCAGAAAGAGTTGATTTCGAAATATTCGAAATACAAACATAGCAACAATGTAAACTTTGAAATTTTACCTATGATTAAGATGACAGTTTTAAAACTTCAGAATGCATTTTTTCCTCGAGCTCCTTTCCAGCTATATAACATTAATATTTCATCTTTTATTAATGCTTTGAATATATTTTTTATCATGTCTTGTAAGTTTGTTCCACCTTTCAATTTCAAAAAGTTTCTCTGAAATAATTTGCCATGAAATATGTAAAAAATTAAAATAAAAATATGAAATATGTAAATACTGCAGTATTATATGTGTATATATGATAATGCAAATGCAACTATAACTTTTGACGAAAATAAAAGCTTATTCGGCAATATTTATATTAATTTTTTTATTTATAATTTGTATTTTTGTGGTCTGCTTTTCTATTCTACTGAACCTTCTTTCAATATATGTTATTTCAATTAAGATGCGGTTTTATTTTTTTCAAAATTTCTTTCAACACTAAAAATTAAAATATCAAGAGTTATATTTCTAAATCTATTACAAAATAAGAATTATAATGAGCGTTAGGTATGATTACCATTGTCAACTTCTTAATAAGATTAATCTACAGTTTTTTTAAAAAAATACTCATTACGATGCTCCAGTTTTATAACTTATAAACTCACTGAACACAAATACATTCTTTGGTTACTATTTCCAGAGAAATCACAACGTAATTCTCTACCACACTGACCAATGCACATTTCATGTAAGAAAAACTGTACAATTTACAAGTTTGACAACAACCAATCATAGTTAAGATTATAAGCAATTTAGACGATCACACGACGATCGACTCATGAGCTTGCTAATCAGAATATAATAACGACATGTATCTAATTTAACGTTCGCACTGAGGATGACCTAAGTTAAAAGTCGAAACGTCTGCGATATCATTTGTATTGTTTTAGAAAAGAATATAATGTTTTAGAAAAGAATATATTTTGTTGATGTAACAATAAGCACTGTCAATCGCTTGATCTTATCCGTTCGAATTTTTAATACTGGTATGATTAATCATCAGAGTCCGATAAATTATCGATTTACAAAATAAGAAATTAAGAAGATAAGAACTTATCTTTGACTCATTGTTTAATATAAATAGTCCTAGAGTCAGATCCACGAATATAGAAACATGCTCGAAAATGATTTATAATTTTTTAAGGTTAGTAGCGTTACCATCTTACAATATATTATTACATTCTATTAAATATGTCTCAACTATGTATTTGATATATTCATATTTATATAATATGCGCAATATATCTGCTATGTATCACATACATATTTCGACTTAGATATTTCAATTACCTATTGCGTTAATTATATATTTAATACATTAAATTTGAAATGAAACACAATGTAAATGTAATATTATTACGTATGTATTTGCAATGAAAGGTGCTGTGCGGATTTATACACATGGAAGATGTTCTTTTACTAGCATCAATTCTCTTTTTTGCAATATTATATGATATTGCAAAAAAGAGAATTGATGCTAGTAGAAGAATTTTCATGGTTTTGTGTATTTGTTTAATTTTATAAATGAAATAATTTTTTCTATTTCTCTTTCAGAATATAACTGAAGAAAAAGACATTATTTTGCAATCGAGCATAAAATACATTTCATAAATGAGTTTTGAGAGAGAAGGTATATATTACCTCAAGATATTAGTCTTCAATGTCGAAGTGAAGCCCAAGAAACTCAAAGATCAACTGAGCAAATCAAAGTCACGAAGTTATCGTTGACTTAAACAAAATTATGCAAGAACATGCACATCTATACGCTGAAGAAACTATCCCATTTTTTCCTTGTCTTTTAGAACGCGATAATATTCTCAAACTTAAGTTATTTATGAACACGAAAAAAGCAAAGTTCTCATCGTCATGTCATTAATAATCTGACATGAATGTCTTGGAAACGCAGAAAAGTGTCACGTGAACATGACTTTAATGCTTTATCCGCTGTGCTAAACGCCTTAGGAAGCCTTAGAAGTCGATCATGCGTCACTATATATACCCGGTATATAAGTTCCCAAACCGTTGCTTCTCGACGATTCACTCGTTTCTTCTGAACAGAAAAAAAATAACGATATTTTCATCATGGTAGCAAATTTCAAAGTTTACAAAAAATGTTCGCCCAATGGTAAGCTCACCGTTTATCTGGGCAAACGCGACTTCATTGACTACCTGTCGGGCACCGAGCCGATCGACGGGGTAGTCCTGATCAGTCCAGAATACGTGGACAATGACAGAAAGGTATGGTGCCAGCTAGTATGCAGCTTCCGATATGGTCGCGAGGAGGACGAGGTAATGGGCCTTAACTTCCAAAAGGATCTTTTCTTGGCGTCAGAACAGATCTTCCCGCAAATCAAAAAGCCTGAATCTAATCCTACCAAGCTACAAGACAGGTCAGGGCGAATATTTATTTATGATATTTATTTATCTATGATATTTAAATTCGAAGGATGCGAAATAAATTATGTTTATTATACTATGTGTGTAATGTGTGTTAAAAATTAAATGCGGAAATTCATCAATATCTAACGTCTACAAGTGTTGAATATTTTAAAATTAATCTTTTGGTTTCTTATCTCTTTCCACTTGCTTCAGTCGTTCTCAAAAATTTCCCGAATTTCCCTAAATATCTAATAAATAATAAAGCTACTTCTTTAATGTTGGAAAAATTAGTTTATCGAATGTGGGAATAGATTGTAAAAATCGATACATGTCGTCTTCCTGGAGCAGGTTGCTGAAGAAATTGGGCTCAAACGCGATACCCTTCACCTTCACCTTCCCACAGAGCGCGCCATCCAGCGTGACTCTTCAACCCGGACCCGATGAGACCGGTGAGCCGTGCGGCGTGAGTTACTACGTAAAGGTGTACTGTGGTGAAACGGAGACCGACGTGACCCACAAGCGCAGTACCGTCATGATGGGCATCCGCAAAATCCAGTACGCGCCTACGAAGCAGGGTCGTCAGCCGTGCACCGTAGTGCGCAAGGACTTCCTGCTGAGCCCGGGCGAGCTCGAACTCGAGGTTACCCTGGACAAGCAGCTATACCAACACGACGAGACGATCGCAATCAATGTGTGCGTGCGCAACAACAGCAACAAAGTGGTGAAGAAGATCAAGGCGCTGATACAGCAGGGCATAGACGTAGTAATATTCCAGAACGGTCAATTTCGAACGGTGATAGATGCGATAGAGACGCAGGATGGCTGCCCGATCAACCCCGGTTCGAATCTGCAGAAGGTACTCTACCTGAAGCTCAGCCTGGCGAGTAACAAGAACCGCCGTGGCATTGCCCTCGACGGTATTATGAAGAGAGACGAAAGCGAACTCGCGTCTAGCACCCTGCTCACTTCGCCAGATGTGCGCGATTCTTTCGGCATCATCGTGTCCTACGCCGTCAAGGTCAAGCTTTACCTGGGCGCCCTGGGCGGCGAGTTGACGGCCGAGCTGCCGTTCGTCCTGATGAGACCCAAGCCGACTGACCGGGTCAAACTGGTCCCGACGGATAGCGTGCTGATCGAGGACATTCCGCACGAGAAGGTCGACGAGAAAATCAGCTCATAGATTAATATTTTCATCCCGCGAGACCATCGCCCAGGTCGCTTCGATCGCTTCTCGTACCCAGCTCGCTGATTAGCATATCGAGTGGGCGGGAGGACGATGCGAGGACGTTTAAAAAACATCTAAAAGGCGTCTTAATGTGGACGTTTTTTAAGTACCTTCTAAATCTTGTCTGAACCTTGTATGGTGTTATCAGTCGAATCGATATCTTTTATTATAAATACATCGCATGTGACATAAATAAATGCTTAATACGGGACCAATTTCTGTATACAAGTATAGAGTATAAAAGAATATTGAAATAATTAATTTTAAGTATCTTCCGATACTTTTGACAAACATGTTTACTTTATTAATATAATCTAGCCAGTTGGTTATTTATATAATTAGCCTATCCAGCATTAATTATTTTCAGGAAATAATCTATTACGATAAATCGTTTTGATACGAATGCAAAATTGTAATGAGCATTCAGCTGCCTGCATGTAATTAAATTCTTTAATCCCCGCAAAATCCCCATGATTGAACATTTGCGTCAGAATGTCGATCCAATTTCCCCAAATTTAGCCATACGCGCTTTCTTCGCTCGTAATCGAGCATCTCGAAACGAAACAGTTGTTACAAAATGTATATACTTTACAAGATCAATAAAGACTATAAGAAACGCTTGCTTCTCAATCGGCTCGGCTTTCGTCGCGTGTGTGTGCCATCGGGGCCTCGAGAAGAATTATGATTTCAGAATACACAGAGTCTCCTCTCACTCCTTTGTTAATTAAACCTGCTTGCGATGCCAAGTTAAAGTCCCACCGTATCAGGATCAAGCGGAGAGAGGGGAAAGGGGGGGAAGAGGTGCTGAGATATCAGCCTCTCTCTGGATATTTTGGGTCCAGAAGGAGAGACCGCTCGCGTGCGGCCCGCACATACGGGGTGTCATTCTGATTCTCGATCTCCTACTGAGGAAGTGTCCATGACGAAGGGCATGGGTGGCCGTCGACGAAGAAAAACCACCCGATACGTGCGACGGGCGTCGATGGAATGGCTTGGAGGGGGGCAGACGTAGGTATAACGCCGCGGAGCGAAAGAGTAGCGACGATAGTACGGCGATAGCTAAACGAGGATAAGAAGAGGAGAAAAAGAGAGA